AGCGAGAGAGAGAGAGAGAGAGAGAGAAAGAGAGAGAGAGAGAGAGAGAGAGAGAGATAGAAAGAGAGAGAGAGATGACAGTTATGTGTGCGTTACCTGCATGCTGCGTCTGCACGTCTCTCTCTACAAACAATTAATTAGGCTACTTCAAAAACAGCAATTTTAACACCTCGTTGCTGAGGGATATAATGTAGAGATCTAGTATCTAGGCTATTTTATTAATAAAATCGCGGGGAAGCATTGACAACAAGTTTATGTGCGATCTGTGATCTCCGGGTGCGTCTCAATTAGCACCCTTGTCCAGTAGTTAGGGCACTGATCAGGGATCAGGCCATTTTAAGGGCTGTCTCAATCGCCAAATCCTTCCAGTGCACTGGAACGTTCGCTCCCTGAAAAATCCCACAATGCACCGCAAAAACTAGGGAGCACTGGCAGAGATTCGGTGCGTTCCATACGGGATATATCGCCCTCCGAAGGGCACTTCGGAGTGAAAACAGTATAAATAGCAGAAAACCCTGCTATTTTAACATAGTATAAATAGAATCCATTGCTATTTGCACTTAGTGTAAATAGCCCCTGCCAGAGATTGTCTTACTATAGGGAGATAAGAGGGTCTGTATTACTTACTATTGGAGAAAGCGTAACGGCTAACTTGGATCACGTGTGCCTTAAAAACCAACCACATTACAGCCCTGACATCATTGAATTTCAGTCAGAGGTGTGCAACACTCAGTCGCTGTTTACGGATACCATAGGAATGAATGAGAAGTGCCGTAAGCTGTATCTCACCTGTCGCAAAAAGTCAGTGACTTCTCTTATAAAACAGCATTTTTTTTTAGGGCTGCCCCTTAATAGTCGACTAATCGTTAGTCGACCAGAAGAGGCTTGGTCGACGAAAATTGTATTAGTTGCAGAAAAAAAATAATAATCCACATTGGCGAAGTCACGCAGATCGTTAATGGCTGGTCTATGGTAATACAGTACATCCGGCAGGACATCCAAACACTCGCTTATCATTCATCCACCACAAATACGGCTTATCATCTGAAATATGTTAGTAGCAGCAACTTTACATGGCCGCTCAATCTAATGTTAACCTAGAGAAATGTGCGCTATTCAAGTGTCTGTGCAGAAGCTGAACATTAGCTCTCACTGCAGGACAGATGGAGGCGCCGCTGCGCTCACTTGCTCTTAAAATACTCCCTCATTTTTGCTCATACAGATAAGAGTAATACATCTTTCAAATCTGCAAAGACTCTACGTTTATTTGTGTGCACTCACAATAACAACAAAACATTCTTTAAAATAATGAAAGCAAACAGGATGCCTTTCTGCCGTCTCGGTCTGTGAACTTGAGCGCGAAACTCTGTGTATATCTTTGCCTTACAGACATTAAAAATGAGTGAAATGTCTACTTTCAAATGAATCAACTCAAATGGAAAACAAATATTCTCAGATTATGTAATCTGTGTAAAACATGCATACAGACGCATCCACTACTGCGGCGATAACGAGTCAGTGTCAGTGTCGCCGACTTCATCTCTTAAACCGAGAACAAAGAAAGCACTAGTTTATCAGTGAATTATTAAAATGTTAA